AGGAGCGCGCGCCGGGCTCGGGGCTGCAGCGGGGCGGGGCGCGCGCGCGCCGGGCTCCGCCCTCCGCCCCGGGCCGCTCCGCGCCTGGGCCGCCTGCTCCGGGCACCAGGCCTCCGCCTCCTTCTGAGGCCTTGGCCGCTTCGGGCTACATGCCCCGCAGCTGGGCCCCAGGTCCGCGCGGGAAGCATCTGAGCGCAGTTTACCGTTTTGGTACATCGAAGTTTTCTACCGCAGGTTTGGCGCAGTTGGGAGCTCCCCTTCTGGCGGTAGAGCTGGGCCCTTCCGAACTTGCTCAGGGATGGAGACGATCACTGGCAGCCAAGACCGCCTGTGGTAGCCTCGAAAGTGGTGCGCCCCTGAGAACCACCTTTCCAACTCCTAGGGAAGTTTATCTTCCCATCTCTGAAGCCCTCTCATCCTCCTCCTGAACAACTGTTACTTCCCTCTCCACAAGGGAAACTTCCAAAAAAGTCAGCTTCCCGTGAACAAGTCCCGCACTGGTCTGTGTAAACTCTGGCCCGAATAAACACTATCCCTGGTTGTGCCCCGTCCCTAAACAGTAGAGTGCTTTTCTGCCAACCACAGGGGACTGCCTCTTTCTTCCCTCCCACGCCTCCCAGGCGCATCCTAGCAGTCCACACTCACTGTGGAACTCGGAAATACGGAAGTAAAATATGGACTGTCTATACAATGGAATATTATTCGACTATAAAAATTAATGAAGTTCACTTGCTACAACCTCTGAAACATTTGGGGTGAAAGAAGCCAAATGGAAAAGGCCACATGGCGTATGACTGTTGTAATGTGAAGTGCCCAAAACAAGCAAATCCGTAGAGAGAACACGGGTCATAGCTGCCAACGGTTGTACGAGGAACTGAGTATTGACTAGCTGGGGTTTCCTTTGGGGTGATGAAAAGTCTGGACCTAACGGGAACACAAGGCCAGGAATCCCGTAGCGGTTACGTGTTACGAATGTACTAGTGCATTTGAATTGCATGGGTGGTAATTTTTATGTGGTGTGTACTGCCCCACAGTAAACGGATAGGAACTTTTTAAAGCGAACGTGTCATTGCCGATATAGCCCAGCCCAAAGTGCAAAGTCTCCACCTTATTATGAGAAAACATCGGAGGAAGAAACCTAATCTGAGAAATACTCCACAACCAAAGCGCCCAGTACTCTTCAACAGGACCGGGGTCACAAAACACGGAGCCTAAGATAGTGTCACAAGTAAGGAGCAGCTGGTCGCTAAGGGAAAAGACGGTAAGAAGGCAGCTGGTGAGGCATGTACTTTGTTCATTGGCCTTCCACCCTCTACGATGACCTAAGACGATGACCCGGGGACACTGGGTATAGGGCACAGGGGAGCCCCCTAGTATTTTGACAACTTTTTCTAATTCTAACATTATTTCAGAATAAAGTTAAAGGTAAAAGTGGGTGTTTATTGAGTGGCAACTAGGTGCCTCACGTATCTGGAGTTTGGAAAACTGGAGTGCAGAGCAAAAGCTAGCAAGTCATAGTGGTCAGCTAACAGTGATCAGAGTGCTTCCAGGGCCAGAGACAGTAGACACTTTCCCGTGTGTCCTATCTGTTCCTGACCACAACCCCCCTGAGGGAGATGTTATTGTCTCTCATTTAGAGACATGAAAACGGGGACTGGAAAGTAATATGTCTGGAGTCCCACAAAGGGCGATGGTAAGTCCATATTAAAAACCAGAGCTCAGACTTCGGGAGCTGTGGCACTCTAGAACTCACTGTGGCCCAGCATCGGCCCCGCCTGCCCCTTCTCTCAGTCCATCTTGGTGAGAGGTCCTTAGAGACAGGTGTCGCCATTTCCATTTCTCTCCCTTGGTACACTGCTGCCCTCGCTTCCTGCTCACCTTAAATAATGGAGGAGTTCACCTGTCTGCACTCTTCCTGGCCTCCCACAAGCCATGTCAATCCACCCACCATTCATGGAAACTTTCAAATTTCTAAATTTGCCCTGCTAGGTTGTTAGAGGTGGGTAATGAGCATACCTGTGTCATTCCTTCTCCCTCACGTGTTTCCGGAAGCAGTAAGGCTGCATTCCGTGCTGTTGAAACCCACAAGCTGCCAGGGATGTCCTGACCTCCAGGATGTGGGGATATGCGCTGGGGATATGGTGCCAGCACTGAACACCAGGCGATCCGTACAGTGATGTGCCAATCTTTAATATGCCTTGGAAGGATGGTTGGGTTATGAAGACAGGATCAACTCTGCCTGGAACCACACTGGCATATTGCCAAAAGCCAGAGGGCTTCCCCCGAAAGGGTCTGTGTTCTCCATCTCCACAAAGTACACAGGCCTTCATAGCTAGGATGTATGGGATAGACATAACGGCTTTCACCAAACACCCGACGCACAGTGCTGCCAAACCTCCTTTCTCTCCTTCTCAGATTCACCGAGAATGTTCCTTCTCACCCAGTCTGAGTTAGAATGTGTTTGCACAGACTCCACAAACACTTACAGAAAGCTTGCCTGACCCAGCCTCTCATCCTCATTTTCTCTCATTTGCAAGTTTTCCTGCTCAGGGAAAACTTTGATGCCAAGGCCTCAGAAGTCACACAGGGGCTGGGCGATGGTCCAGTCAGTAAAATGCTCGCCAGGGGAGCGTGAGTGCAACCCCCAGCACCACAAGAAAAGTGAGGGAGGTGACGCCTGTAATCCCAGCACTGGGGAGGCGGACACAGGCAGATCCCTGGAGCTCATTAGACAGCTAGCCTTGCCAGACGGAGGAGCTGCAGGGTGAGTGAGAATCCCTAACTCAAAAAAGTCAGGTGGACAGTGACTGGGGGAGACACATGACAGCAACCCCTGGTCTCCACACAGATGTAAGTATACACGGGCATGTACACACACACACACAGCCTTGAGAGAAACAGCAGGCTGACTGAGTTCCGGCCACTGTCATTACCACAGCCCCTGAGATCTCAGCAGCGCCCGTGTTATCCTGGTGGTCAGGAGGGCAGCAGTCTTGGAGAACCACCCACTGGAGGAAGAGATTCTCTTGCCCCTGCTATGGCTGCCAACTCGAGTTATGAGGACAACTGGCGAGGGTGAGTTTGTAGGACCCCACCACACTTTTCCCTCACTGACTTCCTGGTCTAGGTAGTGGTTGTGAGTCTTGAGCTGCCTTCACGCTGACAGGGCCAGTTGTTTCAGAGAAGCGAAGGAGACTGACTGAAGGCTACCCAATCTGATTTTTTTATTTTTTAGCAGGTTCCCTCGAAATCCAGCTATGGACACCAGGCAGCAAGTGAGTGAAACACGAAATAAGATGTATGTAGGTGACGGCTGCTCACTTCCCTTACTCTTGTTTACTTGTTAGTGCTAATTTTTGGAGGCAGGGTCCCTGGTCGCTCAGGCTGGCCTTGATGAGTCTTAAATTCTCACCTCTGCCTCCCAGGTGCTGGGATTCCGGGCACGTGTCACACCTGGATTGGGCTGTTCTGAATAAGCTTAGTAACACCTTATATAATATTCACGTGTTGGCAGCTCTTCTCTACCTACACTTGAGGTTTTGCTCTGAACCTAAAACTGAAATTTGGAATGGGTGTGTGTGTGTGTGATCTCGAGCAGGGAAGCAGAGCTTCCTCCGGTGGTTTTGAAGTAAGGAGGAGCTGGCTGGCGGTTTCAGCAAGGCAAGGGGATGGGAGAGTCCGAGTGAAGCTCAATGCCCGTTGCCCAGGTTTGTTGCCCACATCCTGCTTGGTGTTTGTTAAGCTCTTTTCATCCCATCCGGCGGCTGACAGTGCCGAGCTGGAAAGTGAGTGTGAGAAACTGCAGGACCTGTGCAGCGTTCTGAACAGTACTCTGAAAAATCCATGTCCACAGGGAACCTCAGGTTTTGACCAGGCTTGGAAATGGGGGGGAAGAGGGGAGGCGTGATGATGTGTGTGTGTGTGTGTGTGCGTGTGTTGCTGTGCAGCCCAGGTCATCCTCAAACTACAATTTTATCTACACCTTCCGAATGTTGCTATCACGTGCTGCCAAGCCTATCTTAGACATGGGATCTCTGCACATGTAATTAATGAAGATTAAGTTATCTTGGATCAAGGTCACCTTAAATCCAATGACTAATGTCACTCTAAGTGAAGTAGGTGATTCAGACAAACATGGGGGAAAGGCCGTGTGAGGAGGGAAGCTGGGACCGAGTAATGTACATCAGGACCTGCCAGAAGCACGAGAAGCAAGGGAAGGCCCTCCTCTAGAACGGCAGTTCTCAACGTGTGAGGTGGGAGTTCCAACCCCTTTGGGGTTGGGTATCATTTGCACTGTGATTTGTAACAGAAGCAAAATTGCAGTTATGAAGTAGCAACAGAATAATTTCAGGTTGGGGGTCACCACAGCATGAAGAAGTGTGTTAAGGGGCCACAGCATAGAAAAATCGAGCACTGCTGCTCTAGAAGTCTCAGGAGAAGTGTGTTGCCAGGCATTATGGGTCACACCTGTAATTCCAGCCCTTGGGAAACTCAGGCTGGAGGATTTCCTCGAGTTCCGTGCAGTCTAAGACTGCAACAAGAAGACTCTATCCCAACAGACAAAAC